TAAATGCATTTTTAAAGGTAATGCACTAGGCCCTTTGGGGGAGGGAAGTGTTAGATTTACTAGCAGAATTAGATACACTAACAAATTGCACTCAAAATCCAGCTACAGTAATACTTTACAAGCTGTTGCAGCAAACATTTTTTCTTTTGAATAAAGTTTTTACGTAAATAAATAAAACTGATCATTGTAAGCACCCTCTCAGTGTAAAATGACATGTTTCATCCCTTTAACTCCAAGAGAGCTTCTTCTTTTGAAAAACAACAGACTTACTGGCCAGATCACCAGATGAAAATAGAGGAAAGAGCCTATAAAAAAAAAAAAGTAATACTGACAATCACATTTAAAAATTGGTAAGCTGCAATATATTAAATGTTTGATTTTGGGTTTTGATACCACTTAAATGACAAATTAATGATAACAATAACAGGAGGAACATGGGGAGCAGATTTATTGTGTAGCAAAAATGAAACTCTGCATTACCTGAAGGTAGATATACTTTAACTCCCAAGTTGGTCATATGTACACAGATTTCTTTCCTTCAGCCTGTGAGTTGAACTAAAAGAAATCTAAGAGATTCCTCCATCCACACTAAACAGTGCAGATGGACAAATCGTCTCTGCCGCTATTGTATTTTGACAGCCAAAACCCACAGAATACCTGCACAGTGATGGCAGCTAATTGACTGCTGTCATTATTTGGACAATTGTCTACTTGGCTCCATCAATCTTCAGAGAGAAGATTGTTGAGCCGGTTTGTGTGTGGTCAACTTTAGTTAAAAATATACTGCAGTCATCCTATCAATGACAATGGGTAAAGCTGGACAAACGCACATTAACTGTCAGCCAATGCATACGGAGTCGATCAAAAGTCACTTCTTAGGTAGCCGTCAGTAACATCCCAGATCAAAAAAAGATTTTTAAAAAATTTCATTGACTTTTCTCAAAGGAGCCAGGTGGAATATTGTTGGCCTACCACAACCTGCATCTTGTCAAATACAGTCGCTACATGGGTAATCTGACGGTCAACGTCACTGGCAGGAGAGCCATCCATCCACGCTGTTAGTTGTAGATCAGTGGTTCTCAACCTGTGGGTATGACCCCTTTGGGGGTCGAACGACCCTTTCACAGGGGTCCCCTAAGACCATCAGAAAAACATATTTCTGATGTGTAAAGAGCAGCTACTGTGTAGAAAGCAGCTACTGTGCTGAAAGCAGAAGTATTGGACGGTAAAACGACACTCATGAATTATAAGCAGGTAAAATTTTATGGTTGGGGGTCAGCAACATGAGGAACTGTATAAAGGGTCACGGCGGTTGAGTGTGTAGATGGAGGAATCGGTTACAGTTTCTTTTGTTAAGCCCACAGGCTGAATTAAAGAAATCTTCGTCTATGGTCAGCTCAATTAATCGAACAACAAGAATTGTTTTTGGTTAAAAGTACATCACTAGAATGTGTTATACCTTGCTGTTATAATGATCTTCACGAATAAAGCTGGACACACGTACCAAAAGTCAGCCAGCCAACTTTTGGTATGTCGAACCAGCTGACTTTTGGTATGTGTGTACTCTTCTCCATTCAACAGACGTCTGTCCCCCTGTCAGAATACAATAGCACAGCAGGCAAAGTCTCTGCATCCACACCATTGTGTGGATGCAGAGATCTATCAGTTTTTTGGCGTTGAACGAAAAAAAACACAAACAAACAGTGTGTGTATACCCAGCTTAACAGTTATGTCCATTAATATTGATAAACTAAGGTTCTATCAAAGCATAGATTAATGCAGCATCGGACGGTACTTATTTTATAAACTATATATTTATCTTTTCGTTCTCCATGACAGACAGTAATTGCACTGAGCAAGCATGTCACTAGACAAGGATCATTATTGCTGTTGTAAAAGGCACTGCACACCAGTGATGCCACAGCTGTGACAAGGGGGTACACTGTTTATGGTTTACCCCATCCTCTTTTCCAGAGTACAGACAGCCAAATCTAGCTACATATAGACTCCTTACATTATGACTTCTAACATTGTTATCATGAGTTATGACAGCACTGTAATACAAGACAGCCCTTGTTTTCTCACAGGGATATCATTGCTTACCTGACACCATTGCCTTTTCAAGGCTGACACTGAACAGACAGCACTTACCTTGACTTTAATTTCTTTGTACCCTGAATGCATATGTTCCCAAAAGTCGTACAGCAGAAAAGGGCTTTAAAAGGCAGCAGTGTTAAAATGGCTACGATAGATTAGGGAAGTGGTATCTTTGCCTCAGCCTTATGAGTCATAGATGAAACTGAGTGTTTGTGAAGAAGGGAACGCCCATGTTGCTTGGGGCCCAATTATCCTGCTAGGTCAAACATGCAAATGTGCAGGTAAGACAACACACGGTGCAGGATGGGAAGAGGAACGCCCTGCCCCACCTTAACCACTTACAGAGCAAAGTGCAGGCGTGAGGCAGATGGAATAGACAGAACACAGCAACCAAAACAGAGTAGTGAAACTGTGACTGCAGCATTAGACGGTCAGAAAAAGAATATCTGATTTATTACAACACCACTCATTTCACATTCTGCAGCAAAACACAGACAACCAAAAGAGTAGCACTGGCTTTTAGAACTCTGATGTGTATTAACATAGCAGATGTCCTATGGTGGGCATACATGCTTTGATCTGGTTATCTGATCCAATCAGCAAACAATCGAATAGGAAGAATTTCCCTACCAATGGATTTAGACTTTATACAGACTGGATTCAAACAAACTGAGCAGATCGGAAGGCAGCAGCACTGAGATGCTTTGTTCATTTAATCAGTTGTAGTTCAATCATTTCATGGGTAGAGTTGAGCTCTGGCATCCTCCAGACACATCTCTATCCACACTACTTTAAAGCGGTAATAAACCACTGGAAAAAAAAAAAAGTCCCCTGCAAGGTAATGTCATAATGTGATAGTATGCATCACATATTAGCACATTATGTAAAACTTAACTGTCACTGCTGCAGAGGCTTCCATCTTCACCCGGCCTTCCTTCTGAGTTTGCGAGCTCTGGCCGTCTGAGGCTGGGCCGCAATGAGTCCCGGGCCGGGCCATGGCACAGTACTCTGAAGGAATGGCACGGGTATGCTGTTCCTTCAGAGCGCATGCGCCGGCTTTAAAAAAGAAAGAATATTTCCTGAAAAGTGCACGTTTAGGAGATATTCATTTTACCTATAGGTAAGCTTTATTATAAGCTTACCTGCAGGTAAAAGTAAAAAAAAAATTAGTTTACTTCCACTTTAAAAAAAACAACCAAACAAAAAACAAACAAAAATCAGCTCTGCACCACATATAAACAAAGGTGATGATAATGTCAGTGCTCTTAAAAGGACACATTCCCATATTAAGTTAAAGTGGTTGTAAACCTCAGATATGAAATCTGAACAAAGCACATATTTCTGTAGTGCTTGCTTGCCTCTCTCCAAAGCACTAAGTGTCATTTCTGTCTGCTGCCTCGTTCCTCTGCATCACAATGAGTCACTTCTGACAAGTTTTCCTGACACCAAGAGAAAAATGGTGACAGGGGATGGCCCAGCCTGTTATTGCTACAGCCTCAGCTCTGTTCCTGTGTGCGGGGATGTGTCCCTTCCCTCCAATCAGCTCTCACAGCTCTCCTTGCTGATCTAATTTCAGTTCCCTGTCCCCTGCTTTTTGGAGCTGAGAGGTGTTGTGTAAATTCTGCACTTTGAATGGATGTAGGGGAAAGGCAGCTGTATATAACCAGGTACACCTTATGTAGGAAGATTTGTTTAAGCTCTGTGTATCACCTGAGGCAAGTCACTTCACTGGATATATAAAAGGGTTTACAACCACTCTGATGTCATGGGTTGTCAACTAAAGAAATCGATCATTTATTGACACGTGTATTGCCACCATTACGGTTCCATTTTAAACCATTTCTAATCTTTTAGAGATCATTCACACTAGACATTTCATTACGGTACACTTAAACTATGTGCATTACCATGTATTGAGTTAAAAGAGAAGTAAAGCCAAAGCTTTTATTTTGTCCATACTTCTCTTGTGGCTCACAGGAGTACATTTACTTCTGTACTCTTGATCCAGATTCAGCTGATATTGGGCTATTGCCCATTATCAGCTGACTGGGCAGAGCCATGCCAGGTTCAGGAATATTCTTCAGATCCAGGTGCTGTGGTTGGGCACAGTGCAATTTTGTCAGCAGATGTCGGCCAATGATTTATGGCTGAGACCTGCTAATTGGCAAAGTGTCCAATCACAGCACAGAGTACTGTGTTTACAAACACGCAGGACTGTACACATAGCAGTGATCTGGCAGTTTCTTCTCCTTGCAAAGCAGGGATGAAAAAAATAGCTAGATCTCTTTGTAAAAGCAGCACATATTATACTTGTTGCCCCTTGATTTTAACCCCTTCCCAACCAGTGTCAGAAGTATAGTGACAGTGTACAGTATTATATCTGATCACTGTATTAGTGTCACTACTGATGTCAGTGTCAGTTAAAGTACCTCCCAGTGGAGGGTCTGTTAGCGCCAGATTGCCCGCCACACTATCACATCACAGTCTCACAAGTCACTGATCACTGCCATTACCAGTATAGCATTGGAGCTGTGTAAATTACAGTATATATATTACAGTACACTATTACACAAAACAATATATACTTCATGGGTTGTTTTTTTTTTACCAAAGACATGTAGCAGAATAAATTTTGGTCTACATTTATGAAAATTTTTTTTAATTGGATATGTTTTATACTAAAAACTAGAAAATAACGGGGGGAGGGTTTCTCAAAATGTTCAGTCTTTTTTCATTTATATCCACTAGCCTACAGGGCACTTATACCCCTTTCCTGATCAGGTCAATTTTCAGCTTTCAGAGCTCTTGCACTTTGAATGACAATTGCACGGTCATGCAACACTGTACTCATATGAAATTTTTATCATTTTTTTGTGACAGATAGAGCTTTATTTTGGTGGTATTTAATCACCTCTGGGGTTTTTTTTTTTTTTTTAAACAAACCAAAAACCACTGAAAATTTTGAAAAAAAAAAAAGTTCTTAGTTTTTGTTATAAAAGTTTGTAAATAAGTGATTTTTCTCCTTCACTGATGTGCGCTAATGAGGCTGCAGTGATGGGCACTGATAGGCTGCACTGATGGACACTGAAAGGCAGCACTCATATGGCACTGATAGGCGGCACTGACTGGCATTGTTAGGCGGCATTGATGCACACTGATAGGTAGCACTGATAGGTGGCACTGATGAGGAGGCACTGGTAGGTGGCACTGATGAGCATTGACAGGCATCACTGATGGGCACTGAAAGGCAGCACTCATATGGCACTGATAGGCGGCACTGATAGGCAGCACTGACTGGCAGCACTTATAGGTGGCACTGATTGGCAGCTCAGATGGGCACTGATATGTAGCATTGATGTACACTGGTAGGCACTGAAATGTGGCATTGATGTGGCACTGGCAGGTGGCACTGCTGGGGCTACACAGATCATCAGGGCACACGGATCATCAGTGCCCTGATGATCAGTGTACATGTCCCCTCTGAGGGATGCCGATTACCGGCTCTCCTCTCGAGCTGTCAGCGTGACAGCTCGTGAGGAGAGAAATGCTGATAACTATTTATCAGCTGTGATTCAACACAGCTGATCACATGACCGAGCCGACATCTTCGGCTCTTTCCATTGATCGGTGATCTCCACGCTGCGCACTCCCGGAGCCGCACATGCGTGGTTAGAATGGGAGGACATCATATGACGTCCTCCCAGAACGAGAGAACCGCCTTGCCCCCGTCATTGTACTACATATGGCGGGCGGGAGGCAGTTAAAATACAAAACTAAAAACCCAGTGATCAAATACCACCAAACAAAGCTCAATTTGTGTGAAAAAAAACTATGTAAATTTAATTTGGATACAGTGGTGCATGACCAAGCAATACTGAATAGCAAAAAGCATCCTGTTCATGAAGAGGATAAAACATTCTAGAGGTCAAGTGGTTAATATAAAGAGTGGTAGTCCTTCTCCAATTGCACTAAAGTTCTTCTTATGTTGCCTGAAGAGATGTAAAGTAGTGCTTAGCTAAACCCTTCTGTAATGCACTGGAAAGGAAGGTGCAGATATACAGTGGTAACCTTAACATATAGCTGTTCTGGAATAGTCACTTCCTTTCTTGTGGTAGCTCAAGCAAACGAAACAAACTCACAGATAAACCAGAGAGGAAGAACATGTTAAAAAGGGACAAATGACAAGAAATATAGAAACACAGAAAAAACACAAAAGAGTGTTTCCAAATCACCAGAAAAAAAAAAAAAAAAAAAAAGAATTCATACAGTGCATTCATAAAGTACTCAGACTCCCTTCACTTTTTTCATTTTCTTTTATATTGCAGTCTGATACTACAGTTGTTTAATTAGGTTGTTTTTTTTTCATTAATCTACACTCAGTACCCCATAATGACGCGAAAAAATGTGAAGGGGGTCTGAATACTTTATGAATGCACTGTAAATTATATTCACAGATATACAGTACAATTCTAAAATGAGACCTAATAGTTTTGCAACATTTCCTTCTATGTTTGTTTTTTAAATTATTTAATATTTTTTTATTGTTTATATAAGTAAAAACATTTTTTTCAAATAAAATTGATTTCAAGATTTTGCAGAGCATTATGTTATTTCCAAAGAGATATTACAGTAGTATTTGCTGCTTGTGTAGTTTTTTCTTTCAGCAAAGACTGGCCTAGTAAACTATGAGAAAAAAAAAAAGTAGCTTAGGGCTCTACCTGCTAGCTAGAAACCATACAAACAAAATTGTCATATACAATATTTATGAACTAAAAAATTGAAAACAAAATTTTATGAGTGATGGTCATTACATATATAAAATATAAGCACTATGACATCACCTATCCTGTCATACATTTGAACAGTAATCATTTAACCCCCCCAATTTTTGTTCTTGCTCCTGCACTGCTCACAGGAAGCTGTATGTGCCCCATTAATGAATGACCTTTCCATGGATCTAAATGGAAGTTTTACAGACATGCGCAGAAGCAATAAGGGACTGGTCTGAGAAGTTTGTAGCAGTGGCTGTGTGATGGGAGTCACTTTGGGTGGGGGGCCCATGGAACCCAGCTCACTTTGGAGAGGTGAGGAGACCCCTGTCTCAGCTCCCCATATTCCTCATGTGTAAGTCACCCTGTGCCTGTTAGGGGTACAGGGTGATCTGTCCTAATATTGTGTAGACATGTCTAAGAGATAGGTGGGGTGGGGGTTGTGGATTGTTTGGTGTTATGTGGTTGCATCCCATTGTTCGTCTTGCTTGGGAGCACACTATTATGGGATGTATGTGTTTATGTGTATTAGCTTAGTGGGAGGGGGTGTCTCCAGAAGCCCTCCCTCCTGATGGGACTGTCTGCTTAAGTGAAGTTTGAATACCTGTGTGTCTCTTGTTACTAAATGTAGATTGCCCCGCCCTGGGTCATTATGCAGGGAGGAGGGATTTGTCCCTTGAGTGTCTATATCTTATATCTGTGTTCAAATAAACTAGTCTACTTTCTGGCTTACTTCAAAACTGTGGTGTCTGTTGTCGGTGTTCGGACGGGGAAGCAGTATTCTAATGGAAGTACTCAGCGCAGGCTGGGATGATTCTGTTACAGGCTGTATGGCTCCCTGTGGACTGCACAGAATGGATATGGTAGGGGAATGGAAAGGTGGGAATACAACTAAGGCAGGGGAGGGGGAGATATGTTAAACAATATCTATAAGAAAGTACAGATATAATTTATCCTCCAATCATGAACCACTGTCCATATGCAACATTAAACAATATAAAATAATACAAAAAATGTTGCTTTGATCTAGTCATCTTTACAGTTACAACAGGTATTTTCAGAATAAAGCAATCTTCCCTCAAACAAATATTTGCCTCAAGGGACTGCCTGTCTTTCTCGTTGGAGTTCATTTAACATGCAATGTATTTTGTATCAGCCATATGTATACACCTACACAAGGCAAAGAGTTTGTGCAAGATGCACGCAGTAGATTCTACTCCTTTCACTTCTGCTTTGTTGGAAACATTCAAATCCAGAGAAAAGCTGTCTCATGGCACAGTTTGCCATTTGCTACCATAAAGCAAAAATCAGTTGGGATGTTTTAATGACAGTTATGCTTTCACTAAAGACACATATTTTGAATATCAAATTAATCAATATACAGTATTCAGTGGTCGGATTTGTCTGAGGCCTTGCTGTCCATGTTCTTCCATGGGAATTAGTAATTATTGTACTCTTTGACCTGTTTATAATGCAGAGCACTACTCATTCATTGTGCATCATTCATCATATTTCAGATTCAGTACCCCCAAAACAACCAGAAACACTATGGCTGTGTACTAAACTGCATGTTTTGTGTTCCAGCCTGGTAGTGTCAAGGTAGCAAATCATTTTAAATAATGGTAGTGAACTCTTTTCTGTTACTTTGACCTACAGGTAAGCTTGTAATTAAGCTTACCTGTAGGTACAATGAATGTCTCCTCACTGTTTAAGAGATATTTCAGTGAGCAGCAGCCAGTGACATCACCGATGCATGGGCTCTGAAGGGAAGGCATACTCATGCAGTTTCTTTAGAGCTCTGTGCCCCGGATTTGACTCCCATGTGCATGCGCAGGTGTGACATCATCGCGGCTCTGCCATTGTAAGGAAGACCAGGTGACGATGGAAGCCCTATAAGGGGTGACAGCATGCCGCTGCAGGACTTCATTTCAAGGTAGGTCTCTCATAATCTGCTAGTATGCAATACAGGGAGAACTTTTTTTTTTTTTTTTTTTTTTTTTTTTTTTTTTTTTTTTTTTTTAAATCGGAGGAAGTTTACTACTGCTTTAAGGCCCATGTGCAATATGATGCGTTCAGTTCCATAGGTTATACAGATCTGAGCACAGCAGTATTGTATACTATGGGCCCATTCACGCAATTCTGCTTTGGATAGCAGCATTTTGATATGTAAAACAAAACTGTAAGCATATAAACTTTTTGTGACTGTTTATATGCATACAGTACAAAACAAAACTAAACAACAACATGGAGGAACCCCTGGCAGTCAAGGTGCAAAAATTAACATGGCCTTCAGTCTTTATGAATGATAGGCTGAGGTCATTCTGTGCCTGCATTGCTGATTACACACTGTTGATGTTCACATCTCCCACAAAATGAGCAAGTCACGTGATATGGGGCAGAACAACTAAAGGTCGAGCTCACTCTGACTGTGTTGCCGCTGCTGATTACAGAGTGCTGATGTTTATACCTCCCTAAAAATTTGTCATTTACAAGGCACAAGTGAAGAATGGCTGAAGGCAGAGGTCATTCTGTGACTGTAGAGTCCGCTGCCTAGAGAACATCTTGTATACGTGGTGACAGCACAATTATGGCAAGATCTTAAACGCCCATATGTGTTTGGTTATTAATATTAAAATATACACAAAAAGTTAGCCTAGCTGCAAATTTTATCTATTGATGACACACACACACACACACACACACACACACACACACACGAGAAGAATGGTTCTGGGCCAATTTTTCTAAGTTTGTTTAAAAAATGTTTTACATGATTTATTTTTTATTAAAAAAAAAAAAAAAAAAAAAAAAAAAAAAAAAAAAGAGTCAAATGTAAATTTGATTCAAGATTTTTCAGTGTTAGCAGTTATTTCTAAAGACATAATACAACCATAATGTGTATACAGACACAATGACTTGTACCATAGCTCACATCTTGTATGTAAAGAAAGCTATATAAGAAAGAACCTGCACAGTAATAGTGTACTTACTGACACTGAAAGCACTGTTCTACACCATGTACAAATGAAGAAGTTACAAAAACGTGTCACAGCATACAGGTAAACGGATCTTTGCTTCACCCCCCCCCCCCCCCCCCCCCCCCCAGCATGTAAACATGTCTTGCAGTGCAGCTGCTGCAGATAGCTGGGGACTAGAAAACAAGATGCTCCAACATTGGACTGCCATTCACTCTCTCAACTTAATTCACCCACCTTGGAGTTTTGTATGTTCCCACTGTGACATTGGGATTTGGATGGGGAGGGTTGCATGATGCATCATGTAGCAAGTTTCTACCTTCGTTAAAGCTTAAGGTTAGAGTTCCAACCTCTGAAAACCTTCAGTTACTGTGCAGCAAATTGTTTTTTTCTCAGGAAAAGCTGCAGGAACTCAACCACATCCCCCACCAAGTCGCAATGAATGGTGGGTGTGGCCAAATTGCACTAACAGTGGTTTTAAACAGGAGTGCGTAGTGCAGAGTTCAGGGGTGAGCTATGTGCCGAGTGCAGAGTTCAGGAGTGCACTATGTACAGAATGCAAGGTTTAGGGGTGTGCTACGTACAGAGTGCAGGGTTTAGGAGTGTGCAGGGT